GAAGAAGCGGGCCACATGTTTGATTTTTACATACTCAGATTGGGTGTCAACCTAAGTAGTTTTAGGAGACTGGATAGTCGTTTTGCCGAATATAAAATGGCACCAGTTGATTGCTAATAAAAAGAGAGACAGGCTTTTTGCTCGTAGTTACAGAAAGAGGGGAAAGAGTTTTCATTTTTTCCCATCTCGCTGCGCCGTTTACTATCAAGCAAAAGGTTAATAATAACTACATGTACTGGTACATTTTAGTCCCATGAAACAACGGGACACAGTTCCTTTTCCATAAGCTTTTGAAAAAAAAATGGAAAAGATACTGAAATTAAAAAAAGTCCTCACGACTGACATTTCTCCAACAGAAATAAAAATAAACACTTTTCGATCGCCAAAAGACGAGATACCCAATCTTGTTTTGTCTACAGGAAGGTGTGTGGTGTTTGAAACAAAACCAAACCAATCCAGTCTTGGGCCAAGCTTTGTAGTTTGACCAAGAATGGGGAAGCTATCATGCAGAAATTGCATTGTTTGTTGTATGCAACCGTCTGTGGTATGTGAGTCTCGCCTTCATAAAGATTTATTTATATTCGACTGGAAATTCCCAGGGGTGTTTTCATAAAGGACAAAAAAGACTTACTGTATAGATACACAGGGAGCAATTGTACAAGTTGCAAGGACTATTAATGTTACGGAGGGCCTATCTGTGATTTTTTAAGGAGAAAGGCAAGCAGGTAAACCTTTTTATTGCTTTTAGTATTTACAGAGAGTAATAACCGAATGTTATTTCTGCTATTAAGTGACCTTCAATCATTTTGAATCTAAAAATGCTTTCACAAAGAACGGCCTTCAATAATCTTAACTTTACTATAGAATAAACCATACAATGCCGCCAAAATCAATCACTTTCGAGACAGGTAAACGCATGCTGTGAACTTTATACAGTGCATATGGCCAAACACTTTGCAATAATGTATGTCCCTTTAAGTTCCAAAGAATGGAGATCCTCCAACGCTTGTGGGTGCGCCACATTGTTGGTGCAGAAAAGCAGTGTTTGCGCAAAATAATCATATGACGCAGGTCAAGGTTTTCCATGAAATATTTGTTCTGGTGACTTCTATACAAGGTGTCAGGGCTGATGTCACTTCCACTGTTATGACTGTTTGGTAGTAACATAACCAGTGCAACTTTGTACATTTCTCTGGGGGAAATATTAAAACTTGGGCTTTGCTTATGAGCTTAATAACGTTAACCCTAACACTCCCCAGTCCTCCAACAGGTGAAGGATTAAAGAGGGTTAGGGTTAATGTTTCTAATTATGAACTTGGGCTTTGCTTATGAGCTTAATAACGTTAATGTTTCTAATTATGAACTTGCATGGGCGCCCTGTGTCCTAGGCATTATACTTTTTACACCTTACATTGCTTCAAGCATTATCTGATCTTACATTGCATTATGTTCCATTTTCGTCAACACTGGTCTCTGCCCCTAAAATGTAAACATATCAGTGGAATCGTTTAGAGCTTCTTACCTTGTCTTCCATAACAGAAATGTTTCTGCAAAGCAGTGACGATTTAGTTTCTGTCATTTTTACCAACGAGAACTGCACCGTGCACAGATTTACACCGTTGTGAAATATAACATTCTCCACAGAGATTATGGCTACCTCATTCATTTTCTTTCTTACATAGGCCTACATAATCATTTTCTAAACCGGCATTCTTAGAGTTTTACCGTTTTCCAAGTGAGGTTTTTCCTAGTTTTTGGACCTAAGAGCAGTCAACAAGTTGTTACAAGTTAGAAAGAATTTCATTTCAACCAGTGTGAAGAAACTGTTTCTTAGAAAATATTCAGAACAATACCACACATGCAGATATAGAGATCATGTCGGCATTTTAATGGGTCTAAGGATGGACTCGTTCAACGTTTGTTCAAAATAATCAACAACATAGGTAAACTTATGTTAAAAATTAACCACATGGTTTCCTTAGGAAAATGTTGAAGATGAATCAGATAACAGAATTCCGTCGATCATTACTAAAGACGAACTCATAAAAATTTATTTATATCCGACTGGAAATTCCCAGGGGGTGTTTTCATAAAGGACAAAAAAGACTTACTGTATAGATATACAGGGAGCACCTGTACAAGTCGCACGGACTATTAATGTTACGGAGGGCCTATCTGTGATTTTTTAGGAGAAAGGCAAGCAGGTAAACCTTTTTATTGCTTTTAGTATTTACAGAGAGTAATTATCTGACAGACTGTTACATGTACGGGTAGAGTTTCCAGTATGGTGACTTTGTTGAGTCCCGGCCATGAGAAGTATCATGATTAAGACAAGTAAAAAAAAGCCCGTGTCATGAAAGGACTGGTTAATCAATAGGATCAGGCTTATGGATCTGCCTCACGCTACAGCATGTTGGATTGCCAGTTAGCGTCAGATTTCTTAACCAAAAAACCTGCCGGTGCGGTTTTTTCCCCACATGGTTTACAACCTTGAAATTGCGCTTTAAACCAACCAATTGCAAGAGCGCGTTAACACGTCAACGGTGGAAACGAAAATAAAACGAGTGTACACACCCTCCGTGGAATAAATAAGAAAAAAAATGTATGTTGCAATCTGGCGTCAAGCCCTCGGAACGAGAACTTTTGCAGCTAAACATACAACAGCATTTTCCACTGTGAATTTTGGAAGATTTTGAATTGGAGATACTACAAAAATTTCACCTTAATCAGCAAATAAACCCGACAAAACTTGAATAAACCGACCAACTGACGAACGAAAGGAACTAGGGCGCCGATTCGGTGGTGCTTTTCCAACAAATTGCAAAGTTTCACTCCCTCTCCTTTTCCCTGTATCCTTTTTTCTATTTTCCCTTTTTCAGGGGCCGATTTGCTTTCTACGATACGAACTTTTACTATACGAACACAAAGCTAAGATGAACAAACCCCCGGGGGAATATGACCAGGATCATTTACAGATAAAGTCAGTACTATACACGAAGTTTTTGTGAGCCAGTAAATGAGAGGAGATGTTGAAGCATCCGCCGATCGTGTCTAGTTTAACTGTGTTTAACTCTATAATCTAGACGGGTTCTCTCACAGCCAGCGCAGGGGCGGATTGCCCTAAGAACTTTGTCACAGCCTGGCAGTGGAAAAGAAAAAAAAATGGGGAGGGGGGCTAACCTACAACGGAAAAGGGCGCTTAGTGAGAACAGTACCTTTTATTTACGCAATACTGGCATCAGAAGGCTCAGCTCGTACCGGTATACAATTATTGGAATGCAGCGATATCGGTAAAATGTAATAGATTTGGCCCCATTAGCCGGGGAGTGGAATAACGTGACCATGCTCAATACTTTTTCTGATATCACCGAAGTGCAATCTTTCAGGAGTTAAGTTCAGAATATCTTTTAGAGGAACTCCTTGCAGTCATATTGGCACCAGTTTCGTGAAAATTTAACATTTTGTGGAGCGCGCATTTAACCGCGATTGGTTGGCAAAATATGTATTCCTTTTCCACTGCGATACTTAATGCATACGTGCTGGCATGCATGTATCTTGAAACGTAACACCAAAAGCATGTTTGATTGAATTAAAACTTCATATTTGTAATTTTAAGGACTGGTTTTACATGCATGTTTTGTTTTAAAACTCGAGCATGGCACAGCCAGATAGCCCCCTTCGGCTGTAAGAGGGGCCGAAATAACCCGGTTCTTCGAGGGTTAACCCAGAGTTAGCAATTGTCTTCATGTTTATCTTTTTCAGCATGAACCGTCTCGTGAAGGTCCGATTTTCCTGGCTTGCTGTCTGCATGCTCTTTGCACTTCTTGAAATGCAGGTGTCTGCTGTGGATCTCCAATTACCAGACATCGATAAGCCGACATGCTCTGGGATCTCAAGAGGTAAACACTTTGTAATTGGCTTCACCGATAACACCAACGAGTACTTAGATACGAGGCAACTTTACATTCTCGTGGTCGCGTTCAGTAATCAACAGACGGACGTGACGATCAGCAGCAAGTTTCTACTGGACGAACGGAAGTATCAAGCGAGCTTTGTCATAGAGGCAGGTGGATTTCGGCGAGTCACTGTTCCAGTCGAACTGACCATGAACGGCGATGAAAGAAGCATGAAAGGAATCGACATTAAGGCCTCTAGTGAGGTATCTGTGTACGGTCTGATATATCAGGATTACACTACTGACGGTTTCCTTGGTATACCCACAAATAATCTGGGCATGCAGTACGTCGTGGTGACACCAACTGGAAACGTACTACCATCACAATTTGCTGTCATTGGTACAGAAGATGTTACTTCAGTCCAGGTCATTTTACGTGGTGCTGTTACGTTCGAAGGGAAAATATACAATGCAGGTGATGTGCTGACCTTCATGGTGGACGAGTTAGAGGCTGTTCACATTCAAGGGCGCGATAGTGGACAGGACTTGACGGGGAGTATCGTTCAGGCCAACAAGCCAGTATCTGTGTTCAGTGGCAATGAATGCGTGCGCCAAGGAGGCTCAGCTTGCGATACCGTGACGGAGCAGTTGGTACCCGTGAAAAGTTGGGGACGGAAACACATCTATACGGCAGCTCGAGAAACTGACAGGAACATTTACAAGTTGGTGGCCTATTTTAACGGGACAGTTGTTTCCATTCCGGGTCTTCGAGATCGGTCTTTGGACCCAGGAGAATTTTGGGAGGGAGGCTTGTCAGGTTCAGGTGTCGTTTACTCGAGCAAGCCCATTCTTATGATGCAGTTATTGGCAAACATAAATGGTAGGACTGTCGACCCTTCATTCATTCAGGTTCCTGCAGAAGAACAATTTGGTTATGTGTTTGGATTCACGACACCCCCTCATTCAGGAGGTGATTCTGGTGGTTACTTCAATTTCTTCAATATCATTGTGAGAAACGATTCCCGACAAAGTGTTTACATTAATGGATATCCCATCAACAGTACGAATGTTTTTGAGAGGTACATTCCTGACACGAATTACCTGTCACTTACAATTCAGCCTCCGAAAGGGGAAGGTGTCTACTTTGTCGAGCAGACAAACCCGGAGTCGTCGCCTCTTTCCATCACTGTATTTGGGTATGAAAGTTCCGAATCTTACGGCTATGCTGCTGGCTTGTCTCTTCCAAGCAATACGCATTTGCTGAGTTTTACACCGTACTATCTGCGAGAACTTGGGGGTGAGATTTTCACGATTACCGTTTCATGTTTGCAGACCAACGCCATATTCTATCAGGATGCAAAGTGCAGATTTTCCACTGGGTTTGGAGACGTTGAGGTGCCCGGTGAACGTACCGACTCCTACACTGTCATCTGTATCACTCCCACCTTTTACAAAAACGGACTAACATCTGTTTATGTCTCACTTGACAACGGAAAATCGTTTCCTTACTCTGGCATCGTCTATGTCGCTTCCGAAGAAGACCTTCCTCCACTAGTCAATGTCCAACAGATGAATTCTGAGTACGGCAACGACATCATTGACCTCACTTCAAAATCCCCAATCTTGTTATCCTGGGATCCTCGTAGTCTTGGTGAAAACGTCTCGCATGTAACTGTAATGATCCAAGACACCGATTATAACAGTGATGGAAATCCTGTCTTAATGGGGGGTGTTGCATTGAAAACAAACGTCCCTAACAACGGAATTCTGACGATAAATCCCAGCGACTTCACATCCCTCTCAGATGCTGGAGTGTCCCTCTCAGCTTTGTACCTTACTCCATATGCTGTGCGAAACCGAATTTGGCCAATTATACGACTAGGAATGAGAATTTATAAGCTTTTAAAAACTGTAACTAAGGTTGCCTGTTTCATTTCCAAGTTTACGTTCGGTAATGATATTCCTGATGACCTTCCTTCTTGTCCCTGCGATACAACTCAGGCCGAGGGTGATTTGCTGAATTTCCAGCGGGAAGACAGTCTATTTAACTTCATAATCCAACCCGGTGCGGATGTCTGTTACCGGTCAATTAATTCATTTTCATCGCAAGGAGGCCAAAAGTGTTGTTACCGTAAAGATGGAAACATACTATTAGTCCCCCCTGGGGCAGGAACAGCCGAACGATACAGTGCCGTTCACCATCCCTGGCTGCATCTGTGGTATGACGTTCTTCCGTGGTTTTGCTTGTGCATTCGGTCAAACAAATGCAAGGAGTTCTACAAGAACAGACCATCAGATGACTGCTCCGGCTACGATCCACCTCGACCAGCCGGAGGAACTGGGGATCCTCATCTCACTAGTCTGGATGGATACAAGTTTACCTTCAATGGAGCTGGAGAATTCCTGATGGTGTCGTCTGACCTACATAACCTAACCTTCCAAGCCCGGATGGAGAGGTACCGTAACACCAATGCTAGCGTGTACACAGCATTCGTTCTTCAAACCAATGACTCCTCCAAAGTCCAGGTACAGATGTCTAACATGAATGAGACACTGATTCTTGTAGATGGTGAACCTTTGCGTCTTGACTCAATCCCAGTCCGAGTTCATCACCTCGAAGGGGTTCAAGTCAGCTTTAACTCTGACCTGAGTAAAATTAACATCGCATTTAGTGCTGGCATAGCTATCATCGTGTACATTGATCCCGAGATGATGTCTTTCATCGCTCAGTTGGACACCAAATTTCAGGGTCAAGTTAGAGGACTTCTTGGTAACCTAAATGGAAACCCAGACGACGACCTTCAGTTCCCAAATGGAACCGTCATGGATCCTGGTTCATCGCTGAAGGAACTTCATGAGTTTGGTCTGGAGTGGTTAGTCAAAGAAGATAACTCAATATTCAGCTACATATCGCCATTTGACTACAGCACTTATCACTTTCCTGAATTTTCTCCTACCTTCGAGGTTCCTGATGTGAATGAAGTGAGTCAGGAAATTAAAGGCTTTTGTGGAGATTCTATTGAATGTGTCTTTGATGCAGTGGTCACTGGTAGTCTGTCCTTTGCGAATGAAACCCTTATGGCCACAAATACAATTAATGAAGTCCGAAAGGGACTGGTCAAGATTGTCAGCTGTGGCTTTCCGGGTGATGTAGAGAATGGGCAGATGTGGGGGTCTGTGTACCTGGTGAATGCAACTGTAAATGTGACTTGTAACGAAAACTTCGCCTTGGAAGGGTCTTCCAGACTGACCTGTCAAGCGGATGGTCAGTGGTCATCTGACCTGCCTGTGTGCGTTTTCACAGGAGACAGGGGGGACGCTCCAAAAGGGCTATCTGCAGGCGTCATAGCTGCCATTGTCGTTGGCACCTTGATTATTGTACTTGTGGTCGCTGGTGTGATTTACTTTTTGGCTCGGAAATAATAAGTTCATATTCATTTCTAAAATGCAAGTTCTTATCCCATTAATACCATGTAAGCTGCAAACAAATCCCAACTTGTACAGCTTGCACGAAAGTTTACTTTCACTTGGACTGTATCAATTTTAATCACAAGACAAAATAAAAATGACATGTTTTAGTTACAAGACAATCCGAAAAAAAATGCATTTATTAATTAATGTGGCGACCGTTTCTGTTTTCCGGTTGAACTTTCGAAGCCTCTACTTTAGTTTGATAGTTTACTTTCATGTTTTTATCAATAAGGTTAATGAGCCGACTAATGACCTTCGGAAAAGAGTGATTAAGAATTTACAGTGCGTCGATTCCAAGTGTATGAAAAAATTTGACCACAAGTGGACGTATGAAATGTATCCATTAGTTGCTGAGAAAAAGGACACAAATGCTTCAAATGTTTGGCTAATAGTCTGAAACCGAGATTCAAATCGAAATTCAATTTTTTTTAGTATTTTCTACATATATTCAGATGTTACGCCAGTTTTAATTGGAGATTAATTGCTCTATTATTTTGATTAATGAGGTGCTTTTTAAGGATAGTAGTATGATCTATTATAGCTGCTTTGAAGCTGACGAAAAGTTGTATACTCCGCTGAAATGCACGTTGAATGCTGTTGAATTATACGTTACTGGATTTTGGTGTTAATCACTGAATTTCTGTCAACGGAAGACACCATTATTCTTTAATACTTGGCTTTATGAATTTTGTTCATGAACAGCTGTAGTCGTAGTTCATTTTTGTAGGTTTTAAATGGTTATTTCTGACATCAAATCATAAGGTCATTAGCTTCGGAATTCTGCCAGAATTTTGTCATGCGTAATACTGAATGCCACCAACACAACAGACATAGAACGACAGTTGTGAGTCACGGATTGCATGTATTTTGTTTTACTCAGATATGTTGATCAATTGTGTGTATTTTGCTAGTAGTATCTTAGCGTAATGGTTTGGTAAATTAGCCTTCGATGTGCAGGTTTACCTGTTAATGTTGAATTATTGCATGAGCACTGATTTTCTTAACATATACTTTCATTACAATGGTACTCAGATTTTTCCAAATCTATTAGAGTTTGTTCAATATTTCAAGCTTGTCTATTGCAGGATATTGTATGATTGTAAGTTACAGATGAGTTTAGAAAGCAAGACAGACATAATTAGATATTCCGCTAAGGAAAATTGCATCCAGGCCAATTGAATAATAATAGCTGTCAGTGGTATTTTTCATGGATTAACCAAGCAAGCAATAATCATATCAGCCATTAATTGTAGTTTTATGAACCCCAATAAATGGTATTTGTATAATTAAATTTGTACTATTAAAGTCTTCTGATTTTACAAATGCTATCTGAATTCATTGATTTCAAGTGATGTAAATTTGTGGTCAGAAAAACAGGATCATTGGATTTCGTAACAGTTTCAATAGACACAATATGTGAAGGTAAAAATGGCAAGATCAACTTCAATTAATCAGTACAAAGTACACGTTTGTGTTTAGTTTGGTTCGGCGGATTCAATAGCGTTCAAGTATGTGTTTATATTCAGGTATGAGAATTTGACTGAACGATTACGGTAAAACGACTATTACCGTTTGTTCTAAAATCAATTCCGTAAAAAGTTGAGTTACCATTTCCCTTGATGTGTAACCAAAATCTTATAACAAAAGAACAAAAAAGAGCATTGTACTGAGAATCTCACAGTCATCTTCGCGAGTTCAGTCAACTTCAATAGGAATAACTGCTTTGTAAACCTTTTGCACATGTGTTTCGTAGGCCCTCGCACCACTGCTCTGGCGTAAGTTTGTTCTGGAAATCGGGGGTGGGGGTGGGGTGGGGGAAAGGGGGTGACGTGAAAATTTGAAAAGACCTAAATATTTGAATTACTCCATATGGAGGTCGATGTTCATGATATGAACGTACATTTGTGATATGTATTCAAAACGGCATATTTAAAATTGTTTCCCAGTTTGAATGATATCGAATGCATTTTAGGGAATCTGAAAATGTCTTCACAAGCCACTTTATTTTTTGCACACCACAGAAAGGTGTGTGTGTGTGTGTAAGTTTCTGCATTCAATTGGGGACCCTGAACAATAGCGGACAATGAGGTCCCCGATTGACAACTGTGTACAAAACATATGGGTGGTCTTCTAAAAAAGTTAAAGTACAAACAAAAGAGGAACAATAGGGGGCCCCCAGTTGCAGGCAAATACACACTGTGTGTGTGTGTGTGGGGGGGGGGGTAATTCGATTGCTCATCACCCCCTCCAAAAGTGGTGGCATGTATATAGTGATAAGGGGGATATTTTTTCCAATGATTCCTGGATTCAACCATAATCCCTCATCATTTTTACCTGATCAAGAGATACGATTGGATAAGCAACCAAATGGTTTGTTGCAATAATTATTTGCTTTATTCTTCAATTTAGCATTTGCGCCATCTGTGCTGCATTACCATGTTTGAAGTTCATGCAGAAACCCGTAAAAACTGACAGTTCTCGTCGATACTTTCATGCAAGTGGCTTATAGAAAGAAATACAAGAAATTGGACCACTAGTCGGCCGAGCTTCAGCTGTTGCGTGCATATTGGGTACCGTGGACGAGAAGGAGAGGCAGATTAACACTGTCCGGACTGTTTATTGGAGCCTAATGAAGACTGCCTTCGAACGTGCCCGTGAAGCAATCGATTCAGCTCATCAGACGTTGTCCAACTGTGTGGACACATTGAGCTAACATTCGCGTTTTTAATGTTTGAGTCTTCAACTGGAGCTCCACTTGCTGTGTCGTCTTCCTTTTAAAGAAACTTTCTGAATCTAAGCACACAACAAAGTCTAACTGGAGCCAGCCAACATATCACGAGCGATGAAGTGTATTCTGTGTGGGGGAAAAAGCAAACTGGAATATACCTTTTTCCACGGGATTTGTTACACTGAGGGCGGGCTACATGACCGCTGCATTTATAAACCTCGGCGATTTTACTTTGTGGTGGGGCGCTGTTGTTTTGTGGGGAGTCGGTGCATAGATAGCTGGCGTTTTACATTACGTGCAATATTGTATACAATAACATCGCGCTGAATACTGTCAATTTTCCGTAAGTGCATTCCGTTACCACTCGTATGTGCACCTGTGTTCTAGGTTTCTGCATGTGTTTTTTGTATGTTATTATTTGAAATATAACAATTGCAGAACTTCGGGAAACGAGCATTAAGTAGTGAACACGTAGGGGTTAATATATACATGCAGCTGCACTAATTATTTTGTTGTTGACAGGGCCAGTATCCTAAAACGTATGTTTCCTGAAGTATTTTTCTAAATTTTTGTCGACAAAATCTAACGGTAAACAGATTTGGAAAAATGTAAGAGCTCATTTACCAAATGTTTTGTTTAAACATTTACTGTGCTTTCTACAATAGCAAAACAGTGATATGCCGACAGTACAGGACAGATCACTTAAACCAACTCCATTTTAGTTTCTTCATATCTAAGGTCTAAGGGGTCGACCATAGTTCGCTTGATATTCAAGGTAAGCGCGCCAAGGGTAGCACATGTACATGTACATGTATATTAAAAATTAACCACACGGGGTTTTCAGGAAAATATTGACGCACGTTACATGCCCTCCGTTGATCCTAACTAACAAAGATGGATTCGAAAAGGATTTGTTTACCTGCTGTAGATGTCTATAGGAAATATTCTGAAACTGCACAAAGTCACGATTCTTATGTACAATTGAGTTGACGGGGCCTTCTGCAGTTTTTCCGAGGTACGCGGAGGGTTTTCGAAAGGTAACCTATTTATTTTTTAACTGATTAAAAACAAAGTTGTTCTCAGAAAGTTGTCACAACCAGGAGTACCAGATTTAAGCAATAGATCCTGGTGCATAAAAAGCCGGACGATTAAGAAAAGCCAAAAGAAAGCTCAGAATCAGCATTACTGCTTACTCCGTTGGTCTGGGTTTCTTCCGGGACTAACTCAAAGGGACAGCATAGTTGATCTATGTGATGAGTCGTTTTCAACTCGGGCAAAAGAGGTGATAAGGTAAGAGCACATTTTCCGCCATGAGTTTGGCAGGTTTTTGTTTTGATCCTCTATGAATTGATTTGAATCTTTAATCAGTGAATAAAGCGATAAATTTTTTGATTCAATTAGACTGACAAATCGACCGATCGATTGACTGAGTGGCTTGAACATACATCCTTCGGTGAATGACTCATTGGCATAGCGAAGGGGCGGGAAGGGGGCAGCTTCCCCTGTTAATAGCCCCCTCCCAACTGGAACTCTTAGTCCTCTTTCCCCCTCCAGAAAAATGGGGGTTTGGGAGACGGGGAGAGCTCTCGCCACGCCGTCTGCCTTCAGTTTGAAATGCGTTACTTCATTGAGGATGTGGGTCTTTTTAACAAGGTTCTTACAAATAGCCATCCATCATACAAACTAGGTGCCGCATCCAGCGGAACTCTTTCTCCATCTCCTTCCCCCTTTTCAACAGGAACCTTTTTACGACACTAGAACGCGATGGAGGGGGGCGGTTGTGGGGCTAATGCCCCCAAGTATTTGTATAGACCCCTCCCACAAAAAAGAAAGAGAGATAAAATATCCAATTCAAAATTCTGCAATTATTTTCTCTACTTAAATGAACAGTCCAAGATCATTTGGTAGGGTCATTATTTGGCCAATATAAAGTATGGGTGTAACGTTCACCTAAGTAGCAAAAGTTAAAAGGTGACATAACGTGCGGAGGGTTTAGTCCCTCCCCCCCCAAAAAAAAATGGCTCTGAATCCGCGCCTGTCTGTCGGTCGACTTCAAAATTTAATGTCGATTGCAAAATGCATGACTTCTATCAAACTACCAATTCAGCTATCAATAAATGAAAACTATACCTTAAACGGGCACGAATGTGAGCGTGAAGTGGGGCATGATTATGAAAACAATTTCTCTATCTCTCCCTTGGATTTTTACCCTATCTGGTGGTTTTGAAAGATTCCCTTAGACAACAAAGTGAAATAGAATTGAAGTTTAATTATGATTCTGCCGAGTAGCAACTAGCACCAAATGCCATGCTTGTCATAGTAACTTCCATTATTATTGATCTGTCACGCTCTGGAAGCGCATTGTCTTGACCAAGGAGAGCGTTTGTTCATGAAAGATGATGTCTCACGACAAAAATTCTTTGACAGTGAAGGGGGAAATGGCATTAACTCTTTCATTTGACGTCAGTATTTCAGAAAAGCGTCGATTATTCTTAAGAACGTGCAGTAAACTGTACATTTTAACAGGTGATCGATCAAAATTGACTCAATAATCACACTGCAGTTGTGACAGTCAACTATTACGTCAAGTACATGGAGAACAACCCCCAACAGTTTATAATAAACTGTGTTGGACTGCACCGTAAGGGTTTGAAGTTCTGTTCGAATTTTTTTATGCGTATCATTTCTGTTTCATGTTTCATGGCCATGAGAGATTTCATTTCAAGTGAAATATTCCTTTCATCTCATGTGTCGTCTTCACTGACGTGAACATCTCATTCCGTTCTATGTTTATTTCATCAATTTTTGTTGTTTGTATTATTTATATATTAATTGTAACATATTATAAAATCATTTGTGTTCGTGTTTTGCTGTTTAACATTTGCATTTAGTCAGATTTATTTCAGTCTAACCTGCGCTATAACTCTTCCCGTTTTCAAACATTGTTAAAGATAAATATGACAACATATCATATATAACTACGTAGAACAAATTAGTCGTTTGGACTTACCCATCAATAATTCCCAGATGATGTTCCACAAGCACTCATTTTCCAAAGGATATAATTTCCCACGGTGACCGAAGGATTTCGATGAGTAATCATGCCATTTGAAGGTTGCAGACGTGGTCTTTATTTAAGGAGACGTTGAGCTGTGAATCCCAAATAAGTCGCTCGCTAAACTTGCTTGTTGGTGGAGTAAAAAGTCCCCAACTCCGCAGTCATATCCACAGCTGGATAACTTGAATCTGGTATATTTCCGCAGCTAACTTACACAGCTAAATCCATTTGGACTTTTGAGGTGATGAAGACTTGTGTGTGCCTTGAGAACCACTGTTTGCGCCGGCTGCATATCTCCGCGTGCGCTTGATGCACGCACCACGCATGCGAAGGAAACAAATAGCCCAGCCGAAGAATTCCACAATTGACGGTTTGGGCCAGGAATGAAGCTTTTTTTTCGATGTGCATAGCTGGCCAACGCTGACAATGGGTGGAATTCATTACAGGGCTCAATGTATTAGTTTTTGTTCTCTTGCTCAATTGACAATAGTGGGTAAGGGACGAAACTTCTCAACATGTAGAAATTCTTTGATTCAAATGAATCCAATTCCCTTAGAATCAAAGAATGTCCGTTTTTTAATACCTTTCCTTAACACAACCTCTGAGGTCTTGCAGACACTGTAGTCAACAGTATGACTGTGGCTGAAAGAATTACATGTAAAACAATTGTCGATTGGGGTCCTCTAGTAACGAGTCCACAAGAACAAATCAAGGTCATTGAAAAAGATTATAGTGGAAGTCACGTGGCCGCGGCCCCAGTGCATTTCTGTCTCTCTGTCACTACAGGCCAATTCTCATCGGCATTCAGCGTCACTAAGCAACTGAATAGAGGGTTTGCATAGCTGCCATCTTGCCCTGATGACCCCCCACAAGGTGGTTACTGGGAGAAGCATCTATTCTGGTGAAGACTGCTGAAAGCAAACTTTCACTTGAAGACAAAAATATCGCTTACAGCAGTTCTAAAGCACCTTGAGGCAAATTTGGTGAGGGATCACCCTGTTTTGATGCGCGTTTTTGTTTTCATAGAAAACCAACACTGGGGGGAAATGAACATCTTCTGATTGGTAGATCGTCGATCTTGTTTCATTGAATATTCAGCAAGTCACTACGTTCTATTCCGCAGTCATTACAAAATTTCTTAACTTGTAGCTTATACAGCAACTGGTTAAGGTTACTGTAGCGTACTTTCCGAAACTACCCAATCGAAGAAAGTTTTTATAAGCCGGGGGTGCGAGGGTAGACTTTTCGAAAAGAATTGGCCAGTTGATTACACTCACAGTATCCCATTACCGCTTTGAAGTAGCTTGGTGTAAGCCATCTTTACAAAGTTTTTTAACCATCTGGAAACCAGAGATCGCTGAGGTAGTTTTCCCAATGTGGAAAAATTAACTTTACGTAGAAGACTGAAGTGAAATTCATGCAGTCAAGTAAATAGTCTCTAGCTTCGGTTTGTTAGGTCTGGTTGGTGTACTTGTCTTCATATTTGCGTTTTTCTTTCAGTATGAACCGTCTCGCAAAGACCCACCTTTTCTGGATAGCTGTCCTTATGCTGTCTTTACTTGCATTTCCGGAAATGCAGGTATTCAACAGACCAACAGTTGATTTTCCATGCAGTTATTTCAATGACCAACTACGCGATGTTGCCTCCGGACTGGGTCCTTGCCCTTGTACATCAACGCAGGCTGAAGCAGATTCCCTGAGCTTTGTCGAGGCCAATTTTGGCAACGATTTCTACCATCAAGGCGCTGCAAGGTGTTACAGGTCATCGACACCATCGCCTACAGGATCAGGTCAACAGTGTTGCTACGGGGCTGATGGTAACATTCTTGTTGGTCCCCCTGGGGGCGGAACTGCTGACCGATATGCTCCAGGGTTTAATTTGTGGAAGCACCAATGGTACGACGTTCTCCCTTGGCTTGGTTGCTGCAAATTGTCAAACAATTGTGAAAAGTACTACTTGTACAGACCTTCAGATGACTGTTCTGACTATGAACCACCTCGACCAGCCGGAGGGATTGAAGATCTTCATCTGGCTAGTCTTGATGGATAGCCATACAAAACCTATTTAAACCTTTAATGGGGCTGGAGAATACTTGATGGTGTCGTCTGTTCTACATAACTTCACCGTCCAAACCCGTGTGAAGAAACACCAACGCTACTGTGTACACGGCTTCCATTGTTCAAACCGATTCCTCTAAAGTCGAGGTCCAGATGTCCGATGAGACACCGATTCTTGTAGATGGTGAGCCTTTGCGTCTTGACTCAATCCCAGTCCGAGTTCATTACCTCAAGGGGTTCGAATCATTCTAAATGTAATAAGTTGCGTTCAGAGCCGTGTTGAGAGAGATGTGAACTGTTTTTTAATGCAGTAACTATTTCACCACGTTAAATAGCCATGTACATGCAATGAATTACGAGTTGAAGTAACAGTAAATGAGTTATCCTTAAAAAGACCAGTGAAATATGGATGGCATCGCTTCTTATCATTACATTTCCAAGTCGGTAGTTTTTCCAGACAACTGTCAGATGCCGCATTGTACCACAGACACTTCCAGACCTTGATGCATCGAGTCGTATAGCTCTAGCATGTTTCCTAGTGAGAACACAACCAAGTTTTCTTTTGCTCAAAACTATGTAAAATTGTTTGTTATAAACAGTTCATTTTGGTCTTTTAATTCAGTAGGACAGGCCTATGAAAGGAGAAGATTTAGCTGTAAAAGCTTAGCGTGGAAATAAAATTCAACGGGCGAAATGGTTTCTTCTACAGAAAATCTGCGAGTTGGCACGTGTGGTATACACAGGCCATGTCGAATTAAGAAGCAAGAGAGTATACGAAACCCATTTCGCAGAATGACATATACTACGTTCGTTTTCAAAGTTGTAACTTAATCATCTTTAAAAACCCATTACAATAATACCAAATTAATTCAAGAAAAAGGTTAAATTAAATTAATAATTTTTATCGTAACTTCTGCAGAGTATAAAGTCATTTGAAATTCACACAGTATGTGTGTCATTCCTTGTTCACTTTACACATATTATTGTTATGGTGCATTCAAATGCGGACTTTGATTTCCGACTTAAGCTATATTCCGATCTCAAAATAGACGAGATAACCATTATGTATAAAGTGCATGTAGTTATATGATTCCGCTGGTAGCCTTTTATGTGATTATCAATTCCCTGTTGCTAGCAAGCATTTATCCCAGCTGAATAGTGGGCGCAGCAAACGGTGATGGACCTTGTTTCAATGTTTTCCTTTGGGTCGTCCGGCTCTTCTTTCTGCCTTCAAGAATCAAACTTGAAGGCTTAAAAACATTTAGAGTTGGCCCTTTATTCCATTTTTTGGCGTTTTTTTTATTACAACATCCCTGAAAAAAATGCGGTATCTACAAAATTCAAGACGCATTCCTATGTGGGCTCTCGGTTTTTATATCTGAATGTATTTGCCCATCGTGCGAGGGTGACTGACGTGTTTAACTAATGTAAGCATATGACTAGGTTAACTAGTTTTTTGTTTATATCTACAGGAATATTGACGCTTATAATTGCATTTCTACACTTTGCGCGGTCATATACAAAATTTAAAACTTATCTCGAGGGAGGAATTTTCAGTACTGAAATATTTCTAATGGTCTGTTCTATGAAACTATTTTTGTTTCCACACAGCGATACCTTGGAGGCTAAACCATGAACGGTGAAACCACACAATAACCTATTATATACGGTGTAACTATATTGCATATTTTCTCAAAGATTTAATTTTTGTGAAAACAGCAAACTTTTCCAGATTTTCAAGACATAGCTGTGATAATCATGATATAACAAATACAAATTATAACTTTCCACAATATTGTACCCGAAGCTATTAAATGCCAAATCATCAGGGTATGGTTTTCCTCATCAAAATTGAGGTGTAAACGCAGGAAAACCTGTCACTACAATTGACTCCTGAATATAAATGTTACAAAGTAAATTTGTACTTCCTACATTTCTAAGCAAACATCTATTGTCTCTTCAACTTGAAGGTCAAATTTATCAAACGTGATAACGTGTCGTACGTCGTGCCTCTTCAAGAAAAAAAGGCCTTTTGATCCGAATTGAGCGAAATGAATTTTTAAATGTTATTTCAAGTCCTTTCCTCCCCAAAGCATTTAAAAACGCCACACAACTGAGTAAGACCGTTGATGTTACGTCATTATCATCTCTTTTCTTTATGGCCCAAAAAAATTGACCTCCACGATTTTTTTTCATCCCGTAACCGTCCTTGCTTACGCTCAATGTGTAATCACCAACGCCAAGATAAAAAGTAGACCTAGTGATCTGCAAGGAAACTCAGGTCAAACTTTAAGCCTCGTCCGAGTTCTGGGCGCTGGGAGCGACTTTCACCAGCCGAATGTGGGCAGTCTTGTTGCTGCTCAAAGTCCAAATGTTGGTTTTCACAACCTGTCGTAAAAAAGGAGATCACAATTAGAAGACACATCTGAAAACAATAAGCCTTCCATCACTGTGAGCACTCTGGTATCTGTGTAAAAGGCTATTTCAGTTTGCAGCTTTAGACAAATAAGTTAAATTGGCATTTTTGAACTACGCAAACCCGGAAGATTTATTCTAGAGCTGATTTAACAGGTGTATCGAGAGGGAAATCTAATTGAGGTAGTAGTCTCCTCTTGGGCCACGAAACTGATTGGGTAATGAGAGGAGCCCTGAGGAATAGCATAGAGACACGGGACATCGAGATGGCGATCTTAGGAAATGACGTCGCTGGATGGGAGGAATCCGCCATTAGAGTCACTAGATGAACAATGCAGTAAATAGGTGAAATCGAGACACATTCCTCCAGTTCCTTCAATCCCTTACGCCTGGATCGACGATAACGAGCCCACCTGCTGGATGATTTTGAGCAATTGAATAACGAATGCTGAAACTCAGGTGTTTCGAAAGTATTTACAGGTATACAGTGGCACTTTGCTAATTCGTCGTACAACAGAGAAGCACTGATGGCAACAAGATCTCATGCTGAAAAAGTCAAAGTATGTTTTGGGTTACAATAACATGTAATTCGGATCAAAATCTTACTTTACTTTGCACCTGGACCTCGCTACAACCTACATGGTAGACCTAGGAGAAATCAATTTTAACCAAAATAGCTGGAAAAAATGAAACTCTTTCAAGACTGCAAAACTAAGCAGGAGTGGGGGCACGATAGAGGGCGATAGAGTTTATTTTCAACCGTCGGCAATACTTACATTGCCACTGCTGTCCATGTTACGGTCAGCCCTTTTCTTCATTTCGTGGCGCAGCGCAGTGCGAACCTGGACAAGTTACAAGCAAAATAAGGCACCATCGAGAGTGCCCAGACAGGCAAAAGTGAACTTTACTGATTTGAAATCACCGAAATCAGCGACTGGATCATTTTTTTTTAAAGATGACCTCCCTGAGTGGTAAGGACCTAAAGTTTTCGAAGGCTGCCAAATGTTCCATTTGCCCCAGACAGTGACAAAGCCTTCTGAGCATATTAGATTATCAAGCGCTGCTTCTGATCCCGAGCACTTTCCTACTGAAATCCCTCAATAAGCTTTAACACATTCTACATTCTGTAACATGCTGCAGTTGCTTACCTCTGAACTCAGTAGGCAGTAAAACACGAACATGAAGAAACCCTGCAAAATAAAACGAAACTAAGAAATAATACTCCTCTAAAGCATTGCAGTTGCTTTTATCACGCAGCAAACATTAAACAGGATTTGGAGAAGCTAATTAATTATCCAGAGGGGATAAAATCTGTGACGAGAGTGACGGACTGCTAAATGGCCATGATGTACTGAATGAGATATCATGACATATTAATCATAACAATGTGTGCATGTTCAAAGCAAAAAGGGTTGCCTTTATGCGAGAGACCCCAACATTATGAATTTTGGTATTGTTTAAAAATGGGCGCTCAGCCACCTGCAAGCCGTTCAAGATGACAAACGCATATTCCAGGGCCATGCTGTACTGAGTGAAAAGTCCAATGATCCAAGAGATACCGAGCAGAGGTACCAGCATCATCGCGCTCTTGCAGGCGGCCCTGCAAAATGAATAATTGAGATTTGCTGTTAACAAAGACCATCTTAATATTGAATATAATCGTTGGCCCTCTGTGTGTGTTATACAATAAACGATGATCAAATGATTTGAACACACGTGCACACCTTGAGGACTAGTATTCCATGGATTCTACTATATGAATCATTTTTTTCTTGCTACCAGCTGATGTTTCATTGAACTAGTGTAGGCCTGTTAGTCTTGATCCAGACTGCAGAGTTTAAACTTTCAAGAGGGGATGAAAAAGAAATCCCATAAAAATCGGACTTTGTTGTGACATAAATGATTCTATCGTTGATTTACAAACAACATAAAATCTATCGTTTTCCAGATTTACCTGATACGGTCAAGGTTGGTTTGACACTTGAGGGCCGCAGCCCGAGTGACGACCACAACTACCATGATAAGAACAATCATATTCACCTGCGGCAAGAACAAAACAAGTAGATTTATCTCACTGAAACTACTCATTTTCCTTTGCTGTAGCATTTGTTTGTTGTTAAAGTATATCTACATAATACAAATCGAGAAAATAGAGCAGTAGGCCTAATCCAATACAGTTCGCAGCTATAGCTTTATTATCGTTGTACGTAAAACAAAACAAAGTTACCGTGATAATGAGGATGACTGGCCCGACAAAAGCCCAGATCAATCCATCTTTAGCAGTCAACCAGCAGCTATAAAATTAATGCACATTCACAGGTATGACAGGTATTCCATGCAAAATTATACAGAGATGACGAAAACAAAATAGGTTTCGTAATTCATGGCTTGATTCACAGCCCTACAGCAGTGAAACCACATTTCTAAGTCCTTCAAAGAGAGGCAAAGAATCCCCTAGCACTGATATTACCACATTCGAGCCGGATACAACTCTCGTTAAATTCTAATAAAACAAAGCATAATCTCTTGATCACAAGATAAAGAGATAACCCAGAACTTCAGTGAATTATTTCAGTCCTTCCTTACTGTGGTCCAGCTCCGTAAAGGTTGTACTTGATGCCGAGTGAAATGCCAACTACCACGGCGGGAACACCTTGAAAGCATTCAACAAAAAGGAGAAGTCTCTGAAAGTTTTGACTGCTCATACGAATGGCAGTCATTGTTAACAACCAAAAAGCAGGTCTAAAAGAAAATTGTCCAAGTCAAATTGTTTCGTTTTGTGGCTGGCTCGTTTGTACTGCCGTTGTACGCTCCAACAAATTTGTTTCAAACATTAACTTCAGTGCATCCCGACTATGGTGATGGTGCCATTCAGCAATTACGTAGTGTCATAACAAATGTAGCTGGGACAATTGCCATATGATACAGAGTACTGTCAAACTTGTTTCCCTGTATGAGTTATCTGGCTAGAAAACGTCCTCTAGGCTAAAGCTATTCCTGGATAAAGTTTGAGTGCTGTAATTTCCTGTCCCAACGCAAAACAAACAGACCGATACACGATGCTATTTTCCAGCAGCTTCTATCAAACATGCACTCTGAACCTCAATTCCCCTTGAGATGATGTTAAGTGCTCTTTTATAATGCGTCTGTATACTCTGGTAACTCCTTCATCAACAGTGGACTGACCCATATGTCAGTGTTAAACGGACCTTACGCGCAGCAGCCATCGAGTAGGTCTTTTGCTTTTTAAATTAAGTAACAATCGACGAATGAAAGATCTACTTACATCTATTTTCACAGAAACTCTGCGCGCCTCCCACTCGAAAATTGCTTAATAAACGGTATAGGCCTATGCCCTTCGGGGACCGAAAGGGCAGACCTTCCTAAATCGGCCTCACCCCATCCTGCGACGTAATAGAGAGCCAACTTGCTTCCTCCCTGCTCGAACACGGCTATGACCTGTCTGTACAGGTGAATTCCCTCGACCAATGTCCAGCAGAACACCGCCAAGAACAGGTAGTGAAGAAGGATGGCAACTATCTTGCAAGGAATCTGTCGTGACAGGGGAGAAAAATATAAACCTTTACTGGCTGAAAAAGCCTCGGGGTTCTATTTGTGTGTGTATACATTTAGTTTCTAGCCAAACAAAAAATGCAACAGACTTAATAGATACATGTATTCGAGTTTCGTAATTTAAAACATTTAATGCAATACTTTTGATTTGATACAAAATTTGAAGCTCCATACCACATCCAGGTTTGACGCCACGCCCAGCAGGAAGAGAACTGTTGCCAGTAGCATTGCCAACATCAGGTTCTTGTGGATCGTCAAGCGCTCTGACGCTAGCGAGGACCTACGGCAATAAAATACATGCATCACAATGACTATAACCCGCGACGAACGGTTTACCGTTGCGGGCGTCTTACCCGGACATCAAACATATTATCATCCTTCTCGAGCAATGTTGATGTAATATTATTAATAAAATGGATTTGGCAAACACCCTCCGTTATATTAACCTCAGGGCAATTTACATTGACTTATCGAGCAAGAACAAGACGCACGATAATTTAAAAAGAGTAGCCTAATACATTAAGTTAAGCGAGGTTTAGTTATGTTGGTATGACGCCTAAGAGCTATTTCACCGGAACAGTCTACCCGAGGGAAGGATGCCAGGTGTGGGGATCCCCCAGACACACATCAACCTGTCTAAAAGGTTCTACAAGGACAGCCGTTTCCAAGCATGTTAAGGGCCAGACTTATATTAAACACAATAAAGAGGCGTTGTTCCTGGTGGGTAAAACGATGTGTAAACGTTTACCTATAATAAAGTGCAAAGGTTTTTTCTTCATCCCGCTGAAACCACATTTTGTTAAATTTTTATGGTAAGGAATTGCCTTTCGGCTTTTCAATTCCATCCCTGCTGTTTTACCAACAAATGTCGAAATAAACCTACCCAAGATAAAGGAACACCGCTAAGGAGACGAGGAGAGATATGATGGAGAGAGTCAGGCATGTATAGGTCAGGATCTGGAGAACATGAGAGTGGATATCAGGCTCAGCAGGCACCTGAAAGATAAAAGAAAGTGATTTCTTTCTAATCTCCCACCCTCCTCAGTTTATTTGTCAATCCAATCTTGAGGAATTAGCAGGCCAAGTACTTACGGGTTTGTCAACCACCTGCATCAGGACCGCAAAGTTTGTTGTGTGATTGCAGAAACAGGACACCTCATCGTCTGAATTTTCCTCGTCTGATTTCAAGACGTAGCAGCCAAGATCCGACCACCTACCGCTTCCCGGAGTTGAACTGCTGTGTCAATGACAGTTAGTCTATTTTAGCACGTCCTGTATCCTGCACTTATCCGGCAGTTCACGGTTTTTGACGCATATGTGCCGATGATATTAAACTTTGCTTACATGAGCGCTTTCCTATGGAGGCTGCTAGAGACAATGAATCGAAAGCATCTAAATGCTGACAAAGCTTTGAATTATCAGTACATTTAAACCCACTTGATTGCCAGTAAGTGTTGCCTTACTACTTCCCTCGATTTACACCAAAGTAATGCACTCAAACGAAGCCAAAGATGCAGACAGACATGAAGCTAAAGTAAGGAATAGTATTGGCCAGCTGAGATTTCTGTACAGACTTTGATTACCTGTCGTTAAACTCCCAAAACGCGCAAGAAAATTCTGGCACCTCGTGTTCTTTGATAACTACATCCTGTGTACAAAACATTGAAACGAAAATCACACTTCGAATGATTGGTTTAACGATAGAAATTCCTTTCATTTCTAATCCTGGTTGATACTGATGCTAACTCCATTTTCATTTTTATGATACCCACTTTGCCTTTTGAAAGTATTTTTCATCAAACCGAATCAGGATTTGTAGGAGGCATGTGACCTAGTGGCTAGGGTATGTAGCTTCTGATCACAGGATTTGGCCAGTTCGAATCCAGTTGGTGGCAGCATGTTGTGATCATGGGCAAGTCACTTACCCCTATGTACCTCTCTCCACCCAGGGGTAAATGGATACCTGTGAGGGCAGGCGCGGTAGTTTAGCCGTTTGCGCCGAAATGGCAGCACCGGGCTAGTATACTCCGCAGGGAGCTGAGATAATTTCAGGAATATTCAGATGATGTGAGCCCAACATGCAGGGATAATGATACTACAGCGCCTCGGAATAGTTGGCTAGATAGAAGGCAGTTTTCAAGTGTTTGTTATTATTATTATTTACCAAGGCACATTATAAAACATGCGACTCCATATCAAATTCAATAGCAAAGGATAGCGTGTTTAGTTACAACAACACTCATGTTGTGTCTGTCTTTGCAAAGTAATTAACAGGTGAATGGATTGAGTCATCTACAAGAAAAAACAGTAAAACTCACTCCCAGATTCTTCGGCGTGGAGTACGACACTGACACTGATATTGTGTCCATGCCGGAGGCCATGACAGTTACGATGTCACTCTGAAGCCGCTGTCCATTTTCAGAAGACATGGCCATGTCATTGCTGGGTATGTCACTCGATGACAGGGCGGCAATGTTTCTGAACACTCCACCGACCAAAAGAGCTCTCTCGTAAGCTTTACCAAAAGTTGGTGGAAGATAGACGTGGCGTCAATAAAATTGTAAGTTCTGGATGAATGTCATTTTGAAACCTTTTCGGGTAGGAAAATTTATCTACATGGAGAAACCTTGAATCATTTAAACCTTATCAATAACATGTATTAGAGAATCAATTTGGTAAAAATGGTTTGGGTTTAAAACAAATCTAAGATAAAGATTATCGTTAACAATTACCACACAAAGTTTGCAGTGCATAGGCGTATTAGGCCCACACTGTAAATAAAATATCTAGTGTCTACTGTACCTATGACCAGGTTATGTTTTTGGTAGAAGTCTAACCTTTAATCAAAAAAGGACGCTGCTGTATCAAGAAACTATATTTTGAATCGGAAAGAATCACTTTCGCAACCGTAGGTAAAGCATCAAACATCCAAGAATACGGAATTACCGGAAAAGTTCTTCATTTGAAACTCTTGGGCCGTGATTGCAGCCATGAACTTGGCGTCGGAGCTGTTCCACTTCCATCCAGAGAGGAGGAGGTCGTCAGACGATACACCGTAGAGGTCAATGTCTACGAGAAAGAAGGCGGCAAACTATGAAACATATCTTTCTAAGAAGTTCATCCTTCATTGATCCCCATGTTATGAGATGAGACATTAAAAATAAAACTTTACTTTCTAAAAATCTTAAACGTTGGTGACACTTTGTTTATCGTGAACAATTCAAATCCTCTCCCCGGATAAAGTTGAGAGAAGTGGCTGAGTATTCTTTACCGATATTTTCCGAGGTCACTTCAACTGACGATTCCTTTTCAAGTTTTGCCCCGACTTTCAAAGCCATCTTCTCTAAGGAGTTGACAATTTGGATTGGACCCGACAGTGTGTGTTTCTATAAAAAGTGAAAAAAGTTTATTATAATCAATACAGAAACCTGTTGATATGTCACATTCCAATAACAAGCACCATCTACGTATACCACTCACTCATTATTATTAAGAAAAATTAAAAGTTGCATTCCATACCACAAATAAACTGAAAGGTAGGGAATTTGTTTATTGACCTCGACCTTTCGTCCAATCAGACACAGCTAAACTTTAGCGACGAGTCAATTCATTGCACAGATGTTACAAAAAACATTGGACTTGACATCAAGCTTACCACTTCTGAGTCCTTCCAGGGTTTTTCGTTGCCACTGTTCAACAGATTACTTCCAACATTCACCATTTTCTGCGAATAAATGAAGGACTTCAGAATACTTCCCAGCGTCTTGAAAAACGCTGTTTCTCCGAGCTCAAAATGACAAAAATTCTTTGTTTCCTGTCTGGCCATTTTGTGCTCAAAATAACAAGAGGAATGCAGTTACAAATGGATATCAACTGTCATTATAAAGTTCAAAAATTCAGCTATAATGAAGGCTCAGTACACATACAGAAAACTACGAGGAAAGAAAATTACAGTGTTGCTCAATCCATCAAAAGTCTCTTTAAGTTGATCACAAATCCAGCACAAGTCATTAAGTCTCAAGCCACAAGCTATTCAAACGAACTGTGACAAAGCATTCCTTACGTATGACAGGTTGTGTGAAGGAACTTGTGAAGGGACTAAAACAGTGGAGTATATATGGTACCTCCAATGTAGCCCGGGAATTGTTGGCGTCGGCCGAGTCCCAGTCTGAATTGGCAACGGTGTCCAGGAAGCGAACGGAGGCGACCAAGTCTTGGGACAGTATGGGCTTGGTCTTGTTGGCGGTCACTTGCATGAGGACTTTGAGCCCAACATGGGTTACCCCTTGCGAGATGCCCCCACCACTCCCGGCAAGAGCACTGCATAAAGAGGCAGTATCCTAACCCAAACAAATCAAAATTGATCAAAATTAATTCAGCATTACGTTGGATAGTAGTTGTGTCTTGCCTGAAGACACGCCTGGAAACGGAGGGAATACCTCCCACATTCCATTCGCCTTCTACACCCCTCACGACAGAATGCTTTCGTCGTAAATGTTACAGCACTTTCGAGTGAAGTTGTTTTGAGTGAAGTTGTGTTTACAGTAAACTAACATGGGCAAGGCGCTGAGTTTCTTCTCTGCTCTGATCTTCTTCTCTGCTCTGATTGCACGTCTAACATACGTCAGGCCTAAACTGACTCGACGTTTCAGAAGATGTATAGTTTCCTTGATGCAAAATATAATTTGAAACAAAGCTCTGTGATAACGAAAACCCCAAGACATCAGCATTCATTGGAAGAAGTAGCAAAACTGATGTTAAATGTTTGATTACATGGTTCCATTATTGGAGGTTTGGCACGCTGCAGTTTTTGTAGTTAAATGAACGCACCTACACGTATTTCATAAGGAAGTCGAATACCTGTTCGCCGAGTCCCTCTATGTCAGCTTCACGTCTTAACGCGTCCAGGAACTCTTCGGAGTGTGAAGGGACAGTCTCGTCATACACACCCTCCGTGTTTACCGAAGGCCCCGTGGCCGTCACAACATCACCTGGCAAGCACACCGGCGTGTTGCTGCTGTCCACGGAAGTCATCAAGAAGGTGGTGTAACGAGCCGTTGACAAGACATCTGTCCTTGTTGTCGACGCCAAACTGGTCGGCTGAGCTGTGGAAGGCTCGGCAGCTTCTGTGGAGGTTACATCAGTGGGTAGTGAAATTGTTGTTGGTTCGACAGTTGTCTCTGCGTCCGTGGTAGTCGACGCCTCAGTCGTTGGTTCAGACGGGCTCACGATTTTTCCGGTTGTCACCGGTTCTGTAGTTGTCTGCGCCATCATTGTCGTTGGTGCGTCCGTCGTGGCTTGTTCGGTCGTTGGAACTATTTCGGTCGTCTGTCGGACAGAGGTTGTCTCCAATGTTGACCAACTTTCAGTGGTGGGGATCACCAATAGACATCTCTGCTGAACGCAGTTGTGCATAGGACCTTGCTGACAATCGGCATCCACTGTGCAGGTACCTTGAGTGGATATCAGGTACAAGATTAGTTTCATATATGAAATATCCGAATGAATAAATCAAAACAGCTCGACGTTTTTCTGCTATGGCGGTTCTGTTGGTTTATTGGTGACACATCTTGCTTACCATTACATTTGAGTATGCTGAGAATTAGAAACTGTAACAATTGGAAATAAAAGGGTTCTGGCTTATATAGACTTTCATGACTTTATATACAGTAAAACTCGACAAAGGTTGAATCACTGAAATATCGACCTAAGATATCACCTTCACTGTGCATTTATCGCGTTTTGGAAAGGTAACTCTTTGAATAGGCGTTTTTAACGTGACAAGTGTCTTTATGATGAAAGGAATGAGCTGCGTGTACTCTCTGCTCGCATCCAACAAACACAAAGGAATAGTGTTAATTCTTCATTAACTTTAGCTGGGGAAGTCATTTCGTCCAAACTCACCTGGAGACGTCGTGGTCTGTAAATCACAGCCGAGTAGTTCCAGGCGCAATCCTACTTTCGACGCTTCAGGAGACACGACAGTGAGCTTTATGAAGTCCGTCTCGACGGGACAGGGGAAGATATTTGTGACGACTTCATTTTCGTCGTTATTCAATGTGAAAATCTTGATTGGAAACAGAGCAGAACTTCATAAGATGGTTGTGAGGGATATACGATGTAGGAGGAGAAAATCCTTATATGAACCGTCTCCAATCAACACGTTCACCTGTAATGTTCTTTTCAAAACCGCCTTGAAATGCATCCATTATAACACAAAGAATTCCATGTGTTATGTTAATTAAATGTATGAATTATTTTGTCTTGTACAATCTGTTTCAAATTTTCAATTTCTAAAGCATTTTAAGTGATGGAAATTAATTACAACCTTGTTTGAACAGTAATGGTTGAACCCTCTACAAATTGCATGACTCTATGAAGAGAGTCTAGTCAGACTTTGTGGAATGTTTAAGAGTATTGTGTTGTTCACCCAATCCATCTCCAACCACCAAACCACGTGACCAAACCTTTGGCTCTCCGTTCTCCTCAATCGGGTAGTTGTTACCCATGATGCCATATTCAATTTTAGCTTTTCTGACGAAATCCCGGTTTGGAAAGCCCAGAATGTAGATGACCTCCCCCTTTGTGCGCATGCCTGTGACCCTCGTGGTCTCGTTAAACTGGACCTGTAGAAATGAGAAAAAGGGACACACTTTCAAATGCTACCGATTGGGTTGGGATATCCCCGCTGTCATCGTCTAGGGTTAAACCAGACCTCAAACTCATCAATCATTTGCAAACGTGTAGTATTGGAACCAACTGAAAGCGCATGCAATCCAATGTAAGGGTATACAAGAGACTGTTATATTTTCTGTGACAGGAACTAGAGCTGCATTTAGCGGTAGAGGCTCTCCCCACCAACAGAATCTCTGGGCTTTAAGGTCGGTGAGCTAATGGATTTTCCCTAAATATGACGGTCCAAGTTGTTCCATAGCTTTCCTCCTGCAGCCGAATCTGAAGACCAATGCAAGGGGTTTGGCTCATTCAAGGTCTTCTTTTACATTCTGCCATTCTGGGTCTAGTGCCCAATCCTGTGCAACTAAAAATAAAGTGCTGTCTCCTTAAAAGCTCTGGACAATATGTCTCTGTTCGCAACCTTGCCTAGAAGTCGATACTCTATACATTTTCTTACCATTAACCACGGGGAGGTGTCACTGTCTTCAGGTGACCAAGCGCCTGGGTTACCAATCCGTGCGTTTGTATGTGGACCAGTTGACCGGGAAGTGGAGGCGGAGATCTGACTGTCAATGATTTTGCCAGACTCCAGACCAAGCGGTGACCAACATTCTACAATCCAAAGTGAGACCATGGCAAATAAAAGTTAAGTGGATATTACTCATACATTCGGCTGGACAGTACAGTCGCAGGTTACCAGGGAAAAAACAAAGAAGGAAACTAACCAACCAACAAACAAAAGGCAAACAAAAACAGCACACTGAATTCGATGTGAGAACCTACCTAGTCTTTGAAGTTATTTTTTCCTCTATCATTAGTTCATTTCACATTCTCATCAAACACCATCACTGCATCACCAGCAAGAGGAGACATTAGAGCATAAAGTTGACTCACCCGAGCACGTAGGTGATGAGCCGAACAGAAGACTCGACACAGACAATGCGCAGGCGCAGTAGGTATCAATGCACGTACTTGCCGCATCACAATCTGCATCGACAGCGCATTCTGGAATATGAAATGAGTTCGAGTGCAATTAATTCACATCAAGCAAAGGTTTAACTTACACGTGAAGATCTTTGCTAGACAAAGTACGGAAAGAGCACGCTTTTGCTTGTATTTTGTCCATTACAGAAAGATTGCAAGTAAAAAGGTAACTTTCCGATGAACACAGTGGCATATCCACCTTTTGGTGCCGGGGTGGCAAATTCAAAATCAACTGCACTTTTGGGCTCATTCAATATGATAATGGCAGAGAAAACATAGAGCCCATTTATTTGATTAGTTTCTTTCTTACTCACCTATGAAGTATTCTCAGTTGAAAAAGACCTTTAAATCAAAAGAAATTCGTCAGGGAGCAAGTTTCCCTGCCGCATATGCAAACGGATGAAAATTCACGACAATTTAAAGATTTCCGTTCAATAACCAAAATACCCGTGTCCGGATTTTCGTAGCATCCATAGAGCTCCATCCGCAAGCCGATGAGGGGGGTTGTAACGATGTACAGGCGCAAGACTGTCACCCGGAGTGACCGCTCAAAAGTAAAGTCAACGATTTCACCTCCTGCTTCGTAATTAGCTGACAACACCTGTCGGAGAACAAACGAAAGGCAGTCCCTCGTTAGACTAAAGGGAAATTGTCAGTGACTGTGTTGGAAAGCAACGAAGTGACTAGCTAAATAAGAAATGGTAACCAAACTGGCTGCTTAGGAACGTGTTAATAACAGCAAGGGCATACTTTCTCTCATAAGAGTGGGTTCTACGCTGGGGAACTATTGGCAGATGTGGTGGGGGCGGGGGCACAGGGCCACAAAGGGGCGATCATGTATGGAAAAATCAACAAAGTGAACAAGAACCGCGCTAGAACATTGCATTTTGCGCGTGCCTCTACTACGAGACTCGCGTGTAAGATACACAGCTGTTTACAGCCGTATCTCCCACATGACGTTTTGGGGTCACCGGCATATCATTAATACATAATGAGTGTTTCTAAAATCGGCGAAAAAGCGACTCGCGGAAGCCCATTTTTCTGGAAATTTTTCCGCCATAAATGGGAAAAGTGCTCCATTTTTAATGTTAATTTTGAAAGAGCTCTTGTCACCTATTGTATAAAGGTTATAATTGGGGAAAGGTTTAGTTTTCCCTACCTCTTTAAAATAATTGTATTATTTCCCTCCTAAAAGTGTTTAAAAAGCCCACTTTACCTTCACCGCGAAAAGTATTTTGACCACCCCAAAGAAAACTAGTTTTGTATCCGAATCTTATACGGGTATTTTACTACCAAAACGTTTCACAGAACAAGACGATGAACACTGACAGAAGCATTTTAATGATAAATTTTATCATTTGAACTGGTGAAATAAACCTCACCAGAGGGTATCTTATCCATTCACCAGCGTCCCCTTTAGCAAGAAGCTGCATCTCAAACAGCGTCCCTTCAGGGGGCGGGTCCAGCTGATCCGGAGCCTGCGTGCTCAGCATGCCCAGCAAAGCCGCTCCCTGGAAGGCGACTTGTATCCAGGGATCTTTGTCGTATGACCGCGATTTCCAGCCGGCCGAGTTGTGGTTCAGGCGGGCGTTGGCGGCGGAGTGCGATGAGTCCGACGTCGAGGCTGACACCATGGCGTCTGGTATCGCCGAGGACTCCATGCCGAGCGGGTTTTCAGAACAAATCACTAGCAAACGCCAGAAACAAAGACGGGAATACTCAGTTCTAAGCGCAACAATCGACCGTGAACCAACTGCCTCCTAGGCGTATATGATTTAACTATCTGTTTTTTTTTTGTGGGAGTTTACGTCACATATTTGTTTGTATATTTGATGTCATGGTAAAAAAAACTAAGTTTCTGTTATTAGGCAAGCGATTTGGTCAACAAAAGACCTATTTATTTACCTACAATATTTTTTAAAGATTCGATGTATGGAATACAATCAGTGGCATAACTGAGTGTTGGGGGGGGGCGCATAGAAGGGGAGAGATTCCCCTCTAGGCAGTGGATGTCCCTCCTCCCCGCGTCCACCCATTTGAAGTCTTCAGTTGATCACAGCCTATCAAGCCACAGTTTGAAGGCTTTCAGCGACCGCTCCCCCGTTTCAATCCAGTTATGCCACTGTACACAATGAAACACAAACAGTCAACAACACGGTGCCAGTGCAGCTATTCCGGCAAGAAGCAGCGATCGTGAGATATGCTGGGAGAACGTTGACCTTTTCCTGCTTTCTAAATTTGATTTGACATGCTGGAAAATATTGAAGCAAAATGTTACCATTGAAAATTAAAAAATAAACAAAAACAAAAAAGCCCAAAAAGCATTTCAAATTTCCCGCGCTTTCAGTGACAAATGCGGGCGCTGTAGCTGTGTTGGTTTTTCACAATGGCAGTGTGCATTTTCCGTTTTTTGCCTTTGAAGTTGTTAATCAAGAAATTGCAATGAAAATGCTATCTGAGAGCATTCTGTAGCTTACGATTGTAAACAGAAACAACAATCGCAAACAATGAGAAAAACAAAGAAAAATATCCACCTTTCCTGTGTGCTCCAAAGTATACAAATTTCGTTTGCAAAAAAATTAAGAGGCCACAAAAATACTCTCAGGCTGGGAAAAATCAAAGCAACTGTGGAAAATGAAGTCAAATTTGGAAAAAGACTTCATTTACAAATACTGTATTTCTAAAATAACTTGCTGGGCCCGCAAAGCCATACATTCGAAAATTGGAGGAAAATAACTGAAAAGAGAGAGAAGACACGGTTTCCATGGAAACTGTGCAAAAGATGTGCTCATCCACCAACCACTGTGCGGACAAATGTACAAACATAAGTCGACTGCAAAACTATAATCGATCATACCTGCTGTTCTTTGTGCCTATAAATGCGCATGCGCTGAATCACTTTGGGTATACTCTTCCAACAAGGAGGGACAAACGAAAAGAAAACTTACCTCCGGATGCCATGCAAACAGTCACCAAACTTAAAATAACCTACATGTTTGTAAGAAGAAGACAAAAACACATCTATGATAAATACACAAAAACCACCAATTAAATGCGCGAGCAGAGTTAAAATACCAACCTTACCCACTCGGGCACATTTCATGATGGCCAAGGACTCCGCACAGCATCTGTAAGTTGACCTCCAGAAAAGATGGTGCTCATTCCACCACCAACCTGTCTCGTTAATTAGGGTACGAAGACTGCCGTTGATGGCATCAATGACGTCAACCTTCAACAGGCACCGTGAATTATATTACATCAAAGGTAGGGACCTCAACTGAGTGTCCAACAATGCCATGTAGGGCGCTAAAATTTTCTGTAAACTTAGAGCGGCAAAGCCACTCTGTAAGAAGCGGTCATTTAGATTGTAACCTCGACAGGGGCATATTTAATTAAAATGAAATTACATGAGTTAGCGGAAGGCCCTTGGCTTAGGTGCAGGTCGATACGGGGTTCTGTTCAGCCAATGAAATTATTAATTGATGTCCTCATTTTGATGGCGGTCGATGCGCAAGTTAGAGGGGGTTCAAGCCACTAGCGGTCTCTTGGGAAATATTAAAGAATCCACAACTGGCCAGGAAGTCCGTAATACGATCTTTGTTTGCTATTATCTAGCGGGCTATTCACTGAATATTTACCTGCTTGTTTCAACTGAGTCCATCTGACTTTACACAACGATGTCATCGATTGATTATAATCGGCCTACCGGAAATGATTTCTAGATTTCCTTTTGTTCTCCAAAGTGAAATATATGTTTGTCTTGCTCTTTGGAGAAGTCCCATAAACCTTTACAAATATAACTCTCTGTTATTAATGAATTTGGGTAAAATGTATCTTATTTGGCATGATTTATATGAAATTGTACATGATAAGAACATTTCTAAATGCACCTTTCTTTGCACTGTAAGAAGTATAAAAATAAATATTCAACTTTCAACTTAAGCTCTTAAAAATTAGGTAAAAATCGGGCGATCGAGTCAATTTGTACATACCTATACGACCGTTGACCACAGCCTTTTTCTTACCCTGCATTGTCGGTGGTCATTTTTTTTCTCCTTGGTTGGATGAACCTTATATACGAATGCCTAATCCATATCAACGGGCAATCCACGACCATTATTTCTACATAGCATAGGTAAGATCGCTTATGTTGGGATGATTATTGAACCCATCACACTCCACTTGAACAAATGAATATTAATGTTCTCAATTTATGAACAGATCCTACCTTTTAAACCTACTGTTCGCTCCTAATGTAGCATTGTATCCACAAAAAGTGAAAAGGTTATTAGACAAATCGAAAACTCAAGTCACTGAGAACGAAAATGAGCAAAACCATTTGACAAATTGAGGGCAAGTACGTCCATTCGGGGTCAAATTGAACTAAACTTCTCAGAACTTAATGCTGGGTAATTCCAGAAATTAGGAGTCCATTGTTTTCGTGTCTCTGTAACACCTGACATATGATTTTGTAAGTTTATAACAGATGTAACAGGGGCACGAAAATGCCACACTTTTGGACCCCTGATTCTGGCACTACCCTGCTTTCTTAACATAATGTTCATGCATATTAAACGCTATAACAGTACCTCATGGTTTGTTGTTTTCAGCTTGATACTACAGTGCAATTTTAAATGATCGTGTTTCCAAGTACCTCTGCGTGTATGCCGCATGCACTTTCTTATTTCAACAAATGCACTAACTTCACCGAGAGAAATACCAACCACTTGGGTTATGCTCAACATTACTTTGTCAAAATGTGTGCACGCTACAAATTTTCCCAGCAACTCGTTGTTGGCCTACAGTTCCCACACTTCAGAAACGGACAGTTGTGTAAAACAAGTATTCCAACAGTCACCCGACAACAAATTCCTGCAAAAGAGTTCGCAGAGTCGAAATTAGTGACAGAGCCAATCTTTAACAAGTGCACGTATACGATCACAAAATTACGTACACTGCCTACCTGAAGAAGCATGAGTTGTAGAACACCCTCACTTAGAACCATCATAGCTCATTAGACTAGAAGTGCAGAGTACAAGACAATTACGCAGTTAACGTTACCAGAACTGATATTAAAGGCTTGGTCGCACAGGCCTATCTGAAGTCATAGTACGCTTGACTACTTGAGCCCACAGCGCCGAGACATTATCTGAGAGGCTTTTTCCCCGTTTTCCCATAGGACAGAAACTACGTTACCTTAATGACAAAACGTGGTCACGTTCTAGACAACACGTATTGATTCAAAAGTGTAACAGATAACGATGTCCTTTGTCTCAGCTCGTCAGCCTTGGTTTTGTCAACAGCGGAAATGCTGGCGAAATTCAATGGCCGATCGATGGGCGACAATAGGACGTGGCCAGGTGTACACGTTTTAGGCTTGTTTTGTCTTTTTTAATGAAACAAAAGGTTATTTGAGTCGTTGGTAAATGAGAAAGCCAACTCAGTAGTGAATTAAAATATGCATTTATTGTCAATGTGCTGTTAGTGCATGCATTTTGATCAACTGGGAAAATGGCAAACACTTGTCAGGTAAGTTTTCTCCATAGTCTTTTGTGATTCTCCTTGACTTATTCTAGCTCAAACGCACGTCTCTGAGACAGCTAACTCGTTCTTGTTTTCTGTTGTAACCCCCCCCAAAAAAAGAAATGGTACACCTGCATTCTAGAGGAGAAAGCGCGGTGGCAGTTAAAGCTGTCACTGAAGACCAACCCGCGTGAGTCGCAAAAAACGCTCTTATGCTTGATCTCCACAGTCATCGCCACTTCTGGCGCTGGTACAAACTTGCCGGTTTTATGTGGACCCCAGAGTAAACTGATCCACATTATGCAGGCGGTGTAAATCTTACGACTGGCAAGGTTTGCATAAGGCTTTTTTTCCATCTCTAAAACAGGTTTAGGGGCATTTTTGGGTCAGCGGAATATGCATCAAATTACAATTAAGAAAACTGTCATATAAAAACAGCTTGAAATAGTGTTTGTCGTTGAAACATCAGCATTTTCACCTACACGACAAGAAAGAAATACAAACATACATTTTTTTCCAACTTTCATTTTTACGATATATATATGTAAATGTAGTTTTAAGAGTTCATGCGAACGAGATATAGTTCCAGTGCGATCTTATAAGCTCTTTATTCGAAACATTTTTTATTTGAATTTTGGAACTAAATTGATTTTACGAAATATATTTTTCCAACTTGTTCCAAGTCATTTTTGAAGTTCGTTTTTATGTGACATAAAATCAACCTTAAAATACACACCTCGAAAATTAACTTGAAAACAGTGTATCTCGTAAAAACTTGTTTTCAAAAGAATAAACAATACTTCAAAAAGTAGATCTCTTGAGAACAAACTGGAGAATATATCTCGTACAAACGAAGTTTAGGAAAAACACAGATTTTGTAAAAGCCAATTATTAAAAAAATGTACTTAATATAAGTGAACTTCAAAAAAGTGTATTTCACTTTTTGAAAATCTATATTAAATAGCAGTACAGGGCTTTTCGTGGTGACACACTGGCCTGAAACAAATGTAAAACCAGGGTGGTAAAATACATACAGATGATTAAAAGTATTGGATACTTGTGGCAAAAATACTACCACAAATCGACTCGATCACAATGGTGTCTTTGTGGCCTTAATTAGTTTACCCTAACATGACATTGGTTACCTTTCGCAGTGGTCATATGAACGCTGATTTCGCGCCCGAGTCTCAAGCCTAGTGCAAGAACAGCATTGACGAGCCCGAATGATTGGGCAATACATTTGCATCTAATCCCAAGGCCCCACCCTAAGCAATATGAACATCCGATGTTCTAATCCCTCCTGACGGGAGTTCATCACCTCTTCAGATCTCAGAGTTTTGCAAATACAGGGGTTGCCCGAAAGGAAATTGCAGGGTCAATTCAAATTTACCCCGGGGCGCGGATCTATACATTTGCTCTAGCTCTGCTGTTCCGTGATAAATTAAGATCCCATCAGAACCAGTACTTAGGATTTTTCTTTGCCTGTGTGTTTAATACGATTGTTTCAGCAAGCAAACGTTGTCTACGTGTTTAATGAAATGTTGCGTAACTATATAGTGGGTGTGGTGAATTAGCATAGGAAGGCAAGTTTGATGTGAAAGGAGTCAGGTCAGGCATTCTAGCTTCCGACTCCGCGCAGTCTAGGTTAATTTGTTACGTCAGTTCATGATTTTATTTTCAGTGGAATGCCAGAAGCCATAAATGTTTTCCAGAGTCTTTTGCTCATTGAGTTTTTTTTCTGGTTTTTAGTCCAGTAGCCATTTATTTCACTACGAAACGAGACGGGCTTGGATAAAAGTTCAATCACAACGGTTGATCATTATCGCTGGAAATGTTTGTGCTTGTCCTGATGTGTAGGCCTACACTCAAATAAAATTCGGCTCCTAGCTATATCCTATGTAAATGTGTACAGAGATGTATTTTTCATTGGTGGTTCGGAGGGTATATTAACAGATTAGACTGAGTGGTCAGACGCTAACAAAGCATGGAATTCGAAAACGAGGAGAGAATCCTCACATTCTAAAAACAAACAAACAAACAAACAAACAGGATATTGGCTGCATCCTGTTTTGTCTGTTGGGCAGCTACGGTAGGTATGATATACACTTCTGAGGCTTCGAACTGTTGACCACCCTCATTTTGTCTTCAACTTGTATGGGCGGCCAAAGTTTGCGGAAAATACAATGAAGTACCTTTTTTCTTGGCTTTCGATTTCACCTCCAATTCGTTCAAAATTGGTTTTTTGTCCCAACAATTTTAGATAGGGTGGTATTTTCATTTAGAATGTAATAGTTCTTGCGTTGTTATCTACCTGCGTGGGACTTTCAACACCGTGAATTATTATTCACCTTTGTACCGATGGCCGACCATATTTTTTAGCATCCACTTGACGTTGGAAAAGTACGACTGTGACTTCAAAAGGGCAGACCCCCATTGTTACTAGAGACCTGTTCACGGATATATGCGTTTGGGGACCCACTGAATGTTCGAGCTAGATACGCTCGATTGGAGTCGTTCAAGGACAAATTACAGCGTCTGCTATGCGTGAGCACCCAGACACGAGAGAGTTTAACAACATATACAGATAAATACGAATACAGGTCAGCTTAGCAGTTCGCTATGCCCGTGTCCAGGTGCCTTTGCGAATGGCGGGGTTGGATAGTCGTTGTGCTAGCAAGCCTGCAATTTGCGCTTGCTGTGGGGCCGGTCTTCAACTACCACATATTTCTACTAAGTTTCCAAGAGGAATTTCATACAAATACAGCCATCACAGGTGAGGCCTTCCGTTTCTTGCTCAGGCCTTTATACAATATTATCTGTATAAGGTGTACCCTTATACATGTGTATTACGGCTTGGCCGGAGGAAACTCAGTGATGCATGCCAAGGCATAACTATTCGTCCTTCTACTGCATATGAATGCTGATTGACCGGTGATACAACCATAGTAGTTGTATTGCATATGTAATGCATTTTATACAATATGGGCTTTATAAGGGTTCGAGTTAGCATCAATCGTTGTTCCAGAACTCCTGAAAAAAAGCTAGATAAGCCTGCCACTAGTACACGCTTGTTCACAATTTGTTTTACGATTTGAAAAACAGACGTCCTGTAAACTTTTGAATTCCTTTTGTCCGGATAACAACACTGGCAAACTAAACAATTAATGGTACTTTAAAAACAACAACAACACAAACGTAGCTGGA